TCAATTTTATGACAAGTGTTTTCCACACTGGCTGCAAACTAAGCTCCCACTGGCAATGTTTAAGAACTCTGGCGACCCACATCCTCTCCAACACTGATATTGTCAGTCTTTTAATTTTTGCCAGCACGGTGGGTGCAAACTAGTGCTATTGTGATCCGAACCTGCATTTTCCTGTTACTGATGAGGTTGAACATCTTTTCATGTGCTTTTTGGCCATTCATGTTTCCTCTGTTGTCTTTTGTCCACTTTTTATTAAATTGTTTGCCTTTCTTATTGGATATATAGTTCTTTCTTTTTTTTCTTTATTGATTTTTAGAGAGAGAGGAAGGGAGGAGAGAGAGATAGAAACACTGATGAAAAAGAACATCAGTTGGTTGCCTCCTGCATGCCTCTCACTGGGGATTCGGCCCACAACCTGGGCATGTGCCCTGACCGGGAATCAAACTGGCAATCTCTTGGTGCATGGGTCGATGCTCAGCCAATGAGCCACACTGGCCAGGCTGGATATGTAGTTCTTTACATACTCTGGATACAAATCCTCTGTCAGTTACATGAATTGCAAATATCTTCTCCCTATTTACTGTGTCTTTTTACTTTATAACGTCTTAATTTATGTCTTACCTCATATGGTTAGCACTTTCTGTACCTTAAGGAGTCTTCCTTCTCAAAGTCATAGAGATATTTGCCTATATTTTAAAAATTTTAAAGTTTTATCTTCCTTAATTTGTCTGGACTGAGTCTTGAGTAGGGTGTAAGGTACATACCTAATTCCACGCCCCCTTCCCCCCAAAAGGAGACACAAGTGTCCGGCATCACTTAATGAAGTCATTCCTTTCCCTACTGATCTGCGGTGCCTCATGTGTCATATATAAAAATATGTGTGGTCTGTTTCTGGACTTTCTATTGTGTTTCATCAATTTGTCCCTCCTTGGGCTGATAACAAATGGCTTGATTTACTATAACTTAAAGCATGTCTTGATATTTGCTGATGCAAGTCCCATACCTTCTTCTTTAGGAGTTTCTTAGCTCTTCTAGGTCCCTCGCCTTCCTGTTATGTATTTTAGAATCAGCTAACTTGCATAAAAATCCCTGTTGGAATGTTTGTCAGAATTCTGTGGACTCGATAGGTAATTTGAGGAAGAGGTGACATCTGTGACACTGAGGTCTCCTCATCTATTCATATAATGTGTCTCTACATTCTCTTGCTTTTTTTGATAATCTAAAAAAATAATTTTCTCTTGAATGATCACACACTTCTTTTGTTAGATGAATTCTTAACTCATACTTTTGTTGCTATTGTAAACAGGATCATTTTTCTGAATTATAGGTTGTTTGTTGCTGATGTATAGAAATTGGTTTGTGTATTGATTTTATACTCAGTAATCTTGCTAGATTTTTATTAAATCTAGTAATTTAGCTCTAGATTATTTTTCATTTTCTGCATATGTAATCATATCACCTGTGATTTTTCTCTTTTCCTTCCCAATCTTGATACATGTATCCATCCCACTGCTGTGCGGTGCTCTGTTGTTTAGGCTTGTTGCAATGCTGAACATCCTTGTTCTGGTCCCGATTTCAAGGGAATGCTGAGATTTCACCATTGGTTTGGTGTTCGTTTTAGGGGTTTGTAGGCACCTTTGATCGGGTTAAGGGAGTTCCTTTCTATTCCTGGTTTCCTAAGAGCTTGCTTTTTCATCATGAGTGGTGCTGGGTTTTATTAAAAGCTTTTTTTTGCAACTGTTGAGGATCACACAGGTGTTGTTTGATCTCCTGATGTGGAGATTCACATTCATAGATTTTAAAGCGTTAAACCAGAGTTATATTCTTGGGTAAACCCAACCTGGAGTTAGTAACAGGATCATGAAGGTCCTGTTACTAAGAGCAGAGGGGTGGTCGGCCCAGGGCCTAGAACAGAGGGCAGAAAGCCAGGCTGTTTCAGTGTCCCTGGCTCAGGTCATGTGGCTCACCCCACTGGCTGACACACTCTTCTGGGGAGTTAGACAAAGGAGTGGGTTTTATACCGAAAGACTCCCTGAAAGCCCAGGAGGTAAGTGAAGGCAGAGCGGCTCTGTTACTGTCAGGCTGGGCACTCAGTTCTCCTTCCCACAATTCCCGATTGGGCTCCTGAGGCCACAGTCTGAAATCCAGTTTACACCCCAGCTCCCGTATCTGTGGAAGATCTATGTCCTGAGGTCATGACAAGTCCTATTGTACCATTCTGTCCGGTAGGCATTTGCGGTGCCAGAGTAATTTCTAATTCTGCTGTGTCCTACAGCTATGTGGTCATGTCAGAGTGGCCAAGGTGGTTTTCTGGTGCTGTGTAGACAGTGTTACCCCAACACTGAGTGTTCATACACTTTTGTAAAACCTACTACCACATCACTGGACAGACGGACCAGCCAGACTAGTCCTATAGGCCAGTATTTGAGCAATGCTTGTTTTCTAAGACAGCACAATGATGTTTTATTTTCACAATTTGTAGGGCAAACAATGAATGCCTGGGGGGCAGTGTGGGGGTTTAGGCTGCTCTTGGAACAGAAGGCCAGGTTGTAGCATCTCTGTGGGACAGAAGGTCAGGTTGTAGCATCTCTGTGAAGATGCAGGACGTAGCCCAGGTGCCTAGGTGTCTGATATCAACGGTGAACAGGGGCCAGATGGTCTTTCCTCAAGAGGCTGCAGGATCCCCATCAAAGGACTTGACCTCACAGGTATCTGAGTGGGTGTGCTGGTGCTCACACCTGGAAATGTCCCATGTCTGGGCCCCATTCCCCCACATCAGCATAAGGAGGCATGTTCTGTGTACCATTCTTGCAAGTTAGGGGAAGGTCACGAAAAGCCTATTTCTGGAGGTGAGGGCCTCTGAGGAGGTATAATAGCAGGAGCTATCCTGGGCTCATTGCCAGTCCCCAGATCAGCCGACAGGAGCAGCCTGAAGGGCCTGGTTACACCGCACCTGCTCTCCACTGTTTCTGGGGGAGAGGATGAGATTCACACCTCTAGCTGTGACTGAAGGACAGTCACATGACTTTCCCTGAGCTAAAGTACACCAAATGAAGGCCAGTGGGACATGGCCACAAGGATGGCCTCCTGTGAGCCATGCGTCCCTTTGTGACTTGCTTTGGCCAATGGGACTTTAGTAAATGTGGTACAGAGGCTGGAAATGCCCTGTGCATTGAGCTTTGCCACCATGAGAACTGCCCTGGACAGCCTGCTGACAGTGGGTGACACATGGCCCACCTGTGGTCCCTGACCAAGGCCCATATGAGAAGGCCCAGCCCACACCCCTTGAAGCAGAGCTGAGCCCACAGGACTGTGAGCATTCAATTGACTGCTTTAAGCCACTTAGTTCTGGGTGTGCTATACAGAGATCAAGTCCTTATGCACATACTCCCTTATTCAGGATAAGCCCCCAGAGGATGTCCTAGGAGATGTCATTTTTACTTAGTTGTCAACCAGTGGTTCTTGGATACAGTAGCTGACACTTGGCCCTCAGGCAGGATCATGAGCTTGCTTGTTCTCTGGCTGACCCCTAAGACAGGTTTTTCCTTTCCCTCAGACAGCAACCTGAAGCAGGTGACTGGCCTGCCGCAGCACTTTCCCCTGTGGTTAATTTATGCTCCAGATCACTGAACTTCTCTGTCACGTTCAAATGTCACACGACTCCTGAATAAGAGGGATGCTAACACCGATGGAGTGCTGACCACCTCTACACTGGGTTCTCTACCTGTGTGAGTCTTCTCTTCGTTTCATAAGCGAGGAAATAGGCAGAGGTCTCCAGAAATGCCTAAAGCCCCTCAGCTGAGAAGTGGCAGCAGCTGGACTTGACTTTGGAGTCTAGCCTCTACACCCACTGCCTCCACCCCATACCAGGCTTGCCAGGCCCTGACTACTCTCTCCACCCCTTGTGAAAATGAATAAAGGAAACCTCATTAAAAATGGGGGTGGGGGCTCTCATGTACCACACTCACTGAGGTCTGTAGGAAGAAGCTACCTTGTGCTTCCCAACACTAAGAAGCCTACTTTTACTACCAAGGCAGGAGGAAGGTTTTCTACTTGCCCAGCAATAGCCCAGCCAGTGGGAGCCCACCACATTCAGGCAATGAGATGCCACCACCACCCTGAACTCCCACTCTCCTCCAAAGGACTTCTGCTCATAATGGCCCCTCCCAATTGCCTCCCTTTTCTCTATAAAGTAACGCTCTCCTCCTTTGTTCTCTGGACTCGCCTATGGTTTCCTGTAATTTGCAGTCCCAAACTGCAATACATCTGCTATTCCCGAATAAGTCCATTTTCCTGGCAATTTTATTTTTAAGGTTGACATCATTGAGTTCTTCTAGTAAATCACCAAAAAACAAACAAACCAAAAAACGAACTGCTCACGGCTCATTACCTGCTCCTCTATATTATATGGTTATAGGTCTAATCATATAGTAATATAATACAGTAGGTCTATTGCATGCACTGTAAATTGCCTTTACTGTCAAAATCAGCCAACTCAATAACCACCTTAACTTTGGTCATTTGGACTTGCTTCTGATGTCACTAACAGTGCTACATGGAAACGGGGTGGGGGGGCCCATCTGGAGTTTGGGAACCCCGATTTCGATTTCGTACCTCACACTCAGGGATCTAGGGAAGATGGACCCGCCAGAATGCGTTTGAACGTCCAGGTCACATCGAGCCGTCTCCAAGGATCTCCAGTCCCCGAACCGCCCTCGCCCCCAGATTACCCTCCTCTGAGCCGCGTACCCTGCTGCCCGCCCCCGTCTCAGCTCGCGCTCCGGGTCGCCAGTGGACCCAGAGCAAGGACCAGCTCCCCTCCGCGCAGCTAGGCGCGCGCGCACGTCCTGCGTCGCGGCGTCGCCCCCTGGCGTGCGCGCGGCCGGGGTGGGAGGGCGGGGGCGGAGGCGGAGGCTGTTGCGGCGGCCTGGTAGGGCCGCGCACGGGGGCGCGCTCGGGGCCGCGCCAGGCCACGGCCCGCGCGCCGCAGCCCCAGGCAGCCGAGCGGTGCGTTCCCAGGCGAGGCGCGCAGAGCGGAGCGGCCGGCTGCTGAGGTGAGGCGGGGGCGGGCGAGGGCGAGGGCGAGGGTCCGACACCGCGGGCGGACACACGCCACCAGAGCTGCGTTTTTGTAAGCGCCGGGCAGGTGGGGACGCCAGGCCGGGAGTGAGGCTCCAGCGGGACCCCGTGCTGCTGGCGGGGTGTTGGAGGCGCTGCGGGCCGGGTTGCCCAGGGAGGGAGGCTGCGCCCCAGGATGAGGCTGCGCCCGGGACGGCACGATTCTCCTCCCCGGGGAGCCGCGTCTGCGCCGGACGCTCTGCGCCCGGAGAGAGGAGGCTGCGCCCCGGGGTGGAGGGGATACTGCGCCGCGGGACGAGGCTGCTCCCCGGGAAAAAGAATCTGCGCCCCCGGAATGAAGGGGAGACTGCGCCCTGGGATGCGGCAGCGCCCGAGGCGTGGGGGGGGGGCTGCATCCCTGGATGAGGCTGCGCCCCGGAATGAAGCTGCTCCCCCGGGGAGGGACACTGCGCCGGGGACAGCCCCATCCCCATCCCCTCCCGGGAGTGCCGCGTCTGCTCCGGATTCTCTGCCCGAAGGAGGGAAGGCTTCGCCCGGGGTTGAGACTGCGTCCCCGGGATGAGGCTGCGCCCTAGGATGAGGCTGTGCCCCAGGATGAGGCTGCTCCGCGGTTGGCCCCGCGTCCCCTTCCTAGGGCGCCGTGTCCGCGCGGGGTGCTCTGCGCCGCGGGGGCGGGGGGAGCCCCCGGGGAGGGGACGCAGTGTCCAGGGTAAGGCTGCGCGCTCGGGAGGGCGCCGTGTCCGCGCCGGGTGCTCTGCGCCGCGGGCGGCCGCGGGCGGCCCCGGGCGGGGAAGTTCCCGCCCGTGCAGGACGTCTGGAGCGATCCGGAACAATCTGGGGCGACTGGGGGCCCGAGGTGACTTCTGACGTGTTCACATCTGCAGTAGGAAAATTACCGGATGGAAGGTGTCAAATTGGGCTGTGGACGCTCAAACGTGTTGAAGTCCCAATTTACATGCTGGATAACCTCAAATGTGTTCCAGCCCCGATTTATCCGTGGGAAACCGGCATTGCTTTGTTTGGTTCGCAGTTTTAATATTTTTAGCCAACCTCTTTTGGTTTTACTTATGATAAAGGCATTTTGTTTCCTTATTACACAAACCATAATGGTTAGCGTTCCATTCTCGAGGTCTAACTAAAGTGGCTTGGTATCAAACTTGCGTCTTTACTCTTAGTGCTCTAATTAAGATGATTGATTCATCATTCAGTTTTGGGAATAGAAGTGTTTAATCCCTTTTGTTCCCTCTTAAATTTGCCCATCTGTATTATGCCTTTCGCAAGGTGTCATCCAGAGCTGCGTTTGCCAAAATACTGGAGTGTCTTCAGAATAGTTCTTGGGCAATGCCATAATCAATACTGCCTTTTCTTTGGGGCTGAGGCTACTTTTCTCTCTGCTTGCTGAGGGTTTTCCAGAGAGAAAGGGGAGAAAGAAAAAAAAGACAAAGGTTGGGTGATATTGCTCTGCCCTGGATAGAGAATTAGCTGGCCCTCTATGCGCAGTTCTTTCCGAGGGCAGGACCCACTCTCATGGGCACCCACAACACTGGCATGATAAATAGTTGATGAGGAAGCACTGAGCTGGGTGCCCCATTCTGCCCAGAGGTGGAGGCCAAGGACTCAGCACCAGCTTTGAAAGGAATGCATTGTCTTTGAGTAATGACTTAGCTGCCTGAGGGTTCCGGAGACTGAATGCATTCAGCTACATCTTCAACAAATTTGAAGATAGAGTTGAAAGGGAAGAGAAGAGGCCTTTCTGAAGGGGGCAGTCTGGAAAAGAAAACTGGTCTAGCTCTGAGAAATTCATGACACATGTGTCTCGAGGTGCGATGTGCTCAGGAAGTCAGTACTGGGAGTGAAGAAAGAATTAGCTAATGACATCACCGACAAAAACTTCTGGGCTCATAGGCTAATTCCTTTGTGAATTTATATGCCGTAATAGCAGTTCAACTGCTTTTTGGTTTTTGGAATAAGAAACTTCTTTAAACTTACACTTGTCTGTGAGTGAATAAAACAAAATTAATTCATTTGATAAATACTTATCCGTGGCCTGGTGTGTGCTAGGCCCTCCCTGTTTTCTGCCAGGGGACACAGTGATGGACAAGAGAGGCAGAGATCAAAAAAACTCAAAAGCTAGCAGTTTGTTCTATTAATCATTTCTGTAGCCTTACATTTTAAAAATAAAATTTATAATTTTAGTTATAAAAATTTTAAATATATAGCATTAAAAATTTTTTTTTGCAGATTTAAAAATATAAGTATGCACATAGTACATTCTAAAGGTACAAAAAGCTAAGAAAATCTCCTTCCACTCCATAGCCAATCACGTAGTTTCCTCCACCTGCTGTGGTCATGTGCTCTTCCTGCAGTAGTCAGAATAGTATATACACGGTTGTATATGTATTTTAATGTCATTTTTAGTATTTTCTATAACAAATAGTGCTTCAGTGAACATTTTTATATGTGGGTGCAAGCAAAACCTGCTAATTGTTTTTTATTAATCATCCAAATTCTTTAGCTATAAGAATTATTTAGAGGTGGGTTTTATTCCTTTGAATGTTGTGACAAACCATGGCAGTACTTAGGACCAAGGCATATTATTTAAATAGGTAAGAGATAGCTAGAAAACACACTATGGAGATTAGTGGGTGAACTTATACACTTGCCAGCCTATTAAAAACTTGAAGGAAAATTACTGGTCTTAGTATGAAACTGAAAAGAGCTTAAAGAGGTCCGATTTTATTGGAAAACTTGATGTTTTGGTTGTTTTTGGATTAATTTTCTAAAATTCAAATTTCCAAATCTATAATTTGATGATAGAAATGGTGGTGTTAACAAAAAAACCTTTAGTCCTGGCTGGTTTGGCTCAGCGGTTAGAGCGTTGGCCTGCGGACCAGAGAGACCCGGGTTCGGTTCCCGCTAAGGGCACGTACCTCGGTTGCAGTTTGTCCCCGGTCCTGGTTGGTTGTGCGGGAGGCAGCCACTTGATGTGTTCCTTTCACGTCAATGTTTCTCTCTCTCTCTCTCTCTCTCCCCCTCTCTCCCTCTCTTTCCCTCCCACTCTATCTAAACAAAAAATGGAAAAATGTCCTTGGGGTGAGGATAAAAAAAAAATAACCTTTAAAAAATATATTCATGCCCTGGCCGGTTTGGCTCAGCGGTTAGAGCGTCCGCCTGCGGTCCGGAGAGACCCGGGTTCGGTTCCCGCTAGGGGCATGTACCTTGGTTGCAGTTTGTCCCCGGCCCTGGTTGGTCGTGCGGGTGGCAGCCACTCGATGTGTCCCTTTCGCATCGATGTTTCTCTCTCTCTCTCTCTTCCTCTCTCTCCCTCCCACTCTGTACAAAAAATGGGAAAATGTCCTCGGGTGAGGATTAAAAAAAAAATATATATATATATATTCATAATATGTGAAGTAGGAAAGACCAGCAGTGAGAATTTCATTTGCAAATTGTACATTGGAGCCATTAAGATTTCCTTACTTCTTGAGTGACTTTTCTTTTAAGTGTTCATTCTTTTTTTTCCCCCAATTTTTATTCATTTATTTTTGTTACAGGTGTTTCTCCCCTAGACACCCCCTGCCCCCCCCCAGCATTGTTGTCTGTGTCCATTGGTTTGCAGTGTTCATTTCGCTTGGAGTGTGGAGAGGGGAAGCGCAGTGGCCAGCAGAGGTCTGCGTGGGGCCTTGCTGCAGAGCTTCCTGGGGCCCAGACCATGCGTATCATCACCTCTCTGTGTGACGTGACTCGTGTGCTGGCTGCTCTTCTCCACTTGTACACGTATAAGGTGTTCTAGGAGAGTACAAGGAAAACTCCCTGTGGTTTAGGTTTCTCGTGCTTGTGATAGAATTCAGATGAGGATGAGCAGGGAGGGGGTGGAAGGATTTCAGAGGTGCCTGGTATTTTGTTGTTGTTGTTAATCCTCACCCGAGGACATTTTCCCATTGATTCTCAGAGAGAGTGGAAAGAAGGCAGAAAGAGAGAGACAGAGACAGAGACACATCAAAGTGAGGGAGACACACCGATTGGCTGCCTCCTGCAACACTCTGACCAGGGTCGGAATCGAACCTGAGACCCCTTGGTCCTTGGGCCAACGCTCCAGCCCCTGAGCCAAACTGGTCAGGGCATGCCTGGCATTTTTATTGGCAGTGCAGTGAAGCTCTGCTTGCCTCTGGGTTGGTTTTGTTTCACTTGCAGGGTCACCCCACAAGTATTTGCCAGGTGCCAGGTATTGTTTTGGGTGCTGGAGGCGTGGGAGCTAGCACAGCAAGGATAGTTCCTGCCCTCATGGGGTTCGCATTATGAGGGAGGAGGGGACATTAAGCCCCACATAAAGTCCTAAGTACCAGGCTGGGCAATGTAGGGGGGATCTGAGAGGGAGCTCAAAGGATGGAGGAAGCTGGGTGCTGCCCTGGCAGCCTGGATCAGGCAGCAGAAACTCTGGAGTCAAAGCTTTGTGCCCAGGGTATTGTCCTGCGCTGGTGATAGCAGGGAGGTCGGTGGCAGGAAGTGAGACGGGGGTGGGGGGGTGGCTGAGGTGAGGAATTTAGTTGTTCATCTCAGTGTGATGGGAAACCTTAGGAGGGCCTGCTCCCCACCTCCTTCCTTCCCTCCCTTTCTTCCTTCCTTCTTAGTTGACTTTAGAGAGTTTTTAATGAGAGGGTGACATGATCTGATTTATCTTTACAAAGAATTTCTCTGGCTGTTATGTAGCTAACATTTGTTAGGAGCTTGTGACATTTCAGGCCACTTAAGCACTTTATATATATTAATTACTGTAATTCTCATGATAGTCCAAAAAGTAGGCATTACTGTTTGTCTTCTGTGGGTAAAACTAGGCAGAGAGAGGCCACTCTAACCGCTGAGCCAAACTGGCCAGGGCCCAAGTCAGCCTTTGATGTGAGGCCACACTCACTGCCCCGCGCGGCTGTCCACTGTGCTGTCACTGTTTCCGAGACCACCTGCTATCCCTGACGCGCTG